AATAAAAATGTTCAGTATTACGAGCATATTTTTAGAAAAAATAATCTGTTTATTATCAGTTTTATAACAAAAAATAATTAAACTACATGTAATAGTTTTATAAAGTGAAATTCTTACTTGAATTTTATTTTGTCTTTATATTATTTTAAGGTATTTTCATAATCAAATTAATCTAAGTAAATTTTGTAGTGTTTTAGANTCAGCTTGAAAGTAATGAATTTAAGTTAGAATTACTTGGAAAAATCCTTGTTATAACACATTTCTATTTCTTCATATATGTAGAAGTAATAGGTAATTTTACACAGATGAAACTATATATAATTTGTTATTGTTATAATTGTTTAATGTATCGTTACTCAATTGGAGTATAACTCTATTAAATTATCCCAAATTATAGTTAGAAATTTATTTAAAAGCATTTAAAAATATAAATCTTTTTACATTTTATAAACAAAATTATAACCTACAAGCAATCATCTTTGTATACAATGTATACAGTAGATTTATATACTTGAATCAATACAGACCCCCTTATAACACTGTTGATAATTCCGTGTTATATGAATTCCATGTTGTACGAGTCACTTAAATTTTACAAATACGTATGCCGGGCTGTGAACGGCTCACGTATTTGTAAAATCTAAGTGATTCGTACAACATGGAATTCATATTACACGGAATTATCAACAGTGTTATAGGGGGGTCGACTTGTAAATTATATTTATTACTTTAATCGATTTTCGTAAGTATATTTTTGAATGTCACCTGTTTCACCTCTCACGATTCCGTCTGACAATAATAAAAACTGATATGAAAAGAAACTGGATTTTATATATTATTAAAAAAATAAATAAAAGAAAAAAAATCTCTGTCACACCACAATAACTTTAATTAGAGATCTTTTATTAGAACGATGTATTACGTTATTTTGCACGCTTCAATCATTCACGACTTATATTTGACTGACATTAAAAATTTTTAGAGTAAATATTACTTTAAAACAGTATTATATTTAAATTAAAATTTATGATAAAGAAACTTTCATTTTGTTTTTTATTGAAATTAATTTTTTACAAGCAGTAATCCCATCTTTGGCTAGCCATTCACTGCCTAATTTTCTAGAACCATTTAAAGTTTAAATTATTTTTTTTAACATTTTTATAAGTTTTTTCTCCCCTTTATAAAATTCTATACATAGGATCTCTTTAGACAATCGGCTATATATATATATATTTCAAAATTATTTTGTATGGAGCATTATCTTCATATAAAAACCCTGTAGAAAATTATAAGAAATCGAAAATATTTAATTTAAATATAAATAAGAGTTTTTTTTTTAGTAATTGTAGACACTTCTGAATAGTATTGAGTAAACAAAGCAAGAATAAGAGAGGAACGTCAGTGGAATCATGTTGGACGTTCCAAACGCCATTGTCAAACTTCTAGGCTTGCAGGAAGGCGGCGCTGAACGTCCGACGTACACGTTTTCGCATTGAAAACGTCGGCCGCAACCTCTCTAATATAGTTATTTAACGAAACGTGACTGATACACACGATGTTTTTCGCATCGACTATTAACACAACTTCCACGTTCTACCGGAAATTGAAGAAGGTCCACGTGACTTTCCTCGGGCTTTGTTTACTTTTAGACACGGTCAATAGGGTGTCCATAAATGATTATGCCTACTCCAACAAAAGTTTATTACGAAATTTGCATTTTTATTTGTAGATTAACTGTACTTTACTTCTAAAAGTGTTTTCTATTCGTAAGTACTTCAATATGTGCATCTGTAGTACAACATTAAGGCAGTAGCCTATTTAATCTCTGTATAGATTTCCTGACATTTCTGGGGTGATGCATTCGACTGTAAGTCCAATCTGCTCTCGTAATGATTTCATACTTGGAACAACAGCTGTTTACACTTTGTCTTTAACATAATCACATTGCATTTATTTCTTTGGTAATACTGTATGTTGGGTAATTTTGGGGGCTACGAAACCGGACCATCTGTATCCATGGCCTTGTCGAGAGATGCGAGCCGAAGTTTTTTCTTATGTAACTACACACAAAAACATACAAAATTACAATTACATATTAATAAATAAACTTAAGCTCATCTATCTCATTAATGACTTTTATTTGTTATGGCACAGTATATTTTTCTGATAGGATAAGACAACGCCACATGAAAACGATCTGTCAAGGGGGGGTGTTTTCTCTCGGGAGTTCTTTCTTTTTATGAGAACTTAGCCTTTATTAGTTTTATATTTGAAGAAAACCCATAAACGTCACGTGGCCAGCGCATTGGTCAGATGCAACCTGGGACAAACTACCAGTGTTCAATGATTTATCCATTGTGGCCACCGATGGACATGCAGGATAAATTAAATCTTGGAAAAATATTTGTTACTAACGGTCTGTTAACAAATTCGATATTAATTAAGACATTCAAGTCTTCAAAATACAGTGTTGAAAATACAGATTCACACAAGTGGTGTCAAATAATAGCGGTAGATTTTCAGTTTTGTGCATTTTGTTTTCAGGTTAAAGTCTTACAGTAATGATTGGTTTATAATTCGTGACTATCTTCGCATAAGCGAAGCTCCAAATATGGCTTTTCCTCGAATGAATAATATGAGCTTTTCGCTGCTTCCTCCTGCTTTTTTTCTTTTACTTTCTTCTGCAGCATTAGAGAGAGGGGCGGGGACTGGTTGGACAGTTTATCCCCCTTTTTCTTCTTCATACTTCCAAAAGATCGAACGAAAAACGAGCACACGTTTTCGGTACCTGCAGTTTAAAATGAAACTTTGAAAGAGTATCCGAACCGTAGTCTTTAAAAATGAGAATATTCGATTAATTCGAGGGGGTAAAATACAACGGTGAATATACCTTAGAAAAGAAATTAAGGAGGATGATCCCAAAGTAAATTTTAGACAAATGTATGCAAATGTCAAGACAGCCAGCGGAAGACTGTTCATGCTTTTAAGTCTGGCAATACAGAACTACCAGCCCATTTTACTTAGTGTCAGATATTAGTTAATATGCCAAGAAAAAAAATGGGTGAAGAGGCGGTAAAATAAAACTAACTGAATATTACTAATAAATAATATTTGGAAATTTTAAGAAAGTACTTTTATGTATATAATTTGTAATAGTACCACGCCATTTTTGAGACCAGCCCTTCTGGCATTCGCCAGAACTCCCCTACGGCCAGTGTGAGGTTAACATTTACTTGGATTTAATTGGCATAAAATATATCAATGATAAATTACAATCCATCGAAGATAATTCTGCTCTGATAGAAATTGAAATTATTAGAAATATTCTCCATATTGAAGGTGGCAAAGGACACCAACAGAGAGAGAAAAGTAGAACTTCTGCCGAATTTTCTTTTCAGCCCATTGTTCTCATGAATAAATAATTTCCTTTCTTACCATGTGAATAACCAAAGAAATCAGACCAGTAGTAGAAAAATGCAAGGCACTAATGTATATTATGGAAAAACTCTAAATAGATACATTTCTAACCAACTAGAATACAATATTTATAGGAATGTGACTCGAGATTTACGCAAGATTGTAAGAGAATGGTATGAATTGATTGGATCCTTTCAAAGAACATCTATATAGCTTTCATAATGGAGTATGCACAATAAATTTTACAAATAATGTGTAGCTGTTCAAACTAGTTTTAACTAAAGTTAAAACATCCCTCGGTTAAATGATTTGGGGCCATTCTATATATAAAATGTTTCCATTGGAAAACATTTTGTATAGAATGACCCAAAATGAGAATCTAAAATACTGATCTTTGTTAATTAAGAACATGAATACATTTACCAATTAGTTTTAAACTTAAACCTGAATAGCGGATTTGTCTGAAAGTTTACACCAGTAATTTCCAACCTTTTTGGAACGCACACTAAAAGTGTGCCACAACCTTTGCATTAATTATTATTAAGTATTTGCAGACTGGCCAACAGATTTATCACATAGCTTGCTACATCACTTTTCTGTTACACACTTAAAAAAACCTGTTCCTTCATTTTTTTTAGTCTAGTGGCACATTGAATGGCTGTATTTTTTCAGGAAGTGGTCCATTAAGATATCTGGATTTCATCTCTCACATGGACCACCTCACTGTGGACCTGGCCAAACCCATAATGGGCTTGCTAAAACAAAGGCTTTCTTTATGCCCAGGGCAGGAAGAGTTTAAAAAAAAAACTGGCACCAGTGTGCCATGAAACCATATATGAACCAATGGTTCATATAAGGATGAATCAACAAATAACCTGCCATATATATATCAGTCAAACTGTTGCTTCAGATTGGTTATTTTTGATTCGCCCCTTATATTTTGGTCTTAATGATTAACAGATCATCCATTTCTCTGTCTTTTAAAGTGGATCAAATGCAAAACCATAAAAAAAATGTAAACAAAAAAATTATTTTTAATAACTTTAAAAACAATATCAGAAGTGTTTTTTATTTCTTTTTCTACACAACAAAAAAAATTGTTGATTTTGTTAACATAATATGTGTTTTCATATAATATTTGTTATCTACACATTTGTAAAACATTGTACATTAACAACATATCTATATTGTAATAACAAATAGTTTCTGTATTTTTTCAAAATTATGCTTAATCAGCCTTCAAATTTGAATGGTAAAACATCTAAAAAAACAATAAACAAATGGGATAAGAAAAAAAAAATGAAGTTAAAATTTTACAATGATTCAACTATATACTGCTCACTTTTAAACATAAAAAATATAACAATTTATTATTGTCTTTAAAAATTCTATTCTTTTGTTGACCTACAGAATACTGTAAATAATTTATTTATTTATTTTTAAGAATCTAATTTTTTTTTAAATTAAATAATAGAGAATTTTTTTATTACTATTTTAAAAACTCTTTGTATTCTTTATAACTAAACTGTGTCAAATAATTTAATTTTTGTAATTCTGACAAATGAAGCATTTTTTTCAATGAATTTTTTCTTTCGGAGGAAGGCACTTAGTCTGAGATCACAGCCGTCAAACGAATGTTTTGGCTAAATACGTCCTTTAGTCGAGAGCAAACGTTTAAAACTAATGCCTAAGAGTGTCGGGAGTGGCGATCGACGTCTTGTTGAACAATCCCGTCGCAGGTGAGACGGTTCAAACAGTGATATATTCGTTCGGACGTCGACATTCTTACGGTCTTACAAATAATCATTTGAGATAACATTCCATTTAATAAATTCCAACAATCAAAAGGTCAAGCTTCAGTAAGTGTGAAATATTTACATTCCAAGAAACATCATCTCACTATATATAAAATCACAGAACTGTCGTTGACATTTTTTGGACGACAACTAAAAAAATCTGTCTTTTCGCTTTATATGAAACAATGTTTTTTCTTTTTTTATTTCGAATTTTGTATGAAACTAAACCAAGAACTAAGAGGCTGCTCATACTTGACTGAATTTGAGTCCAGCTGAAAATAGAAAAAATTATTTTAAATCGTCATTATTTCATGACAGTATTAAGTTTAATATTTAAAATGTCACACAAAAGAAGTGTCAAGTTTAAATGTTAAATGGGCCTCATATTTTGCTTGTGTTGAATGGAAAATTTATCCATGAAAACAATACATCATCATACTTTTCTGAAGAATCATCGAATCTTTTTATCTGGGATAAAATTAAGAGGCAAAGTGACTAAAGCATGTGTCTGCCATTCTAGAAATGTAGTTTGAATGTATATTGGATTCACATGGTTTTCGCGTATGATCTGTTTCAGATATGTTATGTTCCACTCTATCATCTTTTCATTGTGAACTAGACTTAACTTATAACATAGGTATGATAAAAACCCTCTCCTTTATATAGCATTGATTTTTAGTATGCCTAAATTCTTGTGTTATTTGAACAATTACTTTACTTGCTTTATTTATGAGTGAGTTTGTATGTTTTTAATTTTATTCCCTACATCATAGTAATGAGTGCCATTATTATAAATAAATAAGCCCAAGTAGTTAATGGAAAAGTATTCCTGAAGGCTGCTTAATGACTCTAAACTACATTAATTAAAATTATCATTTATTACTAATTCATTATTAAATTGAAATATCTCAAATAATAACAATTATGTATAGACCTCGTATATTATTTTGAGTATGAGAGTTTATTGGTGATGATGTGTAATAATTCAGATACTGACAAATTCTCTAAAATTTATAAATTAAACAACTTAATTATCAGGTTGTTTGTATGTTATTAAATATTAATTAATTTAATTATTCAAATGAACAGACAGATTCTTATCAGGCTACATTAATTCCTTAATTAATTAGCCTTAACCACTTATCTCTAACCAGATGACTCAGTTGCCATTTCATGAAATTTGAGGAATTAAGTTAAAATTTAACCTGAAATTTAACCTAAATCTCTTACCATGTTATCGGTTAAGCTACCTTCAATCCTCTGTCTAATACTCGCTTCCTTAATTAATTAATTAATTTTTAATGTAGCTCAATAAGAATCTAGCTGTTCATTTAAATAATTATTTCGATAGTTTATAAATATTAAATTATCAATAAGTATTCAAATAAAAATAGATAAAATCATTACCTTCATCATTGCTATAGCAATGTTGGCAATGTAATTTATTATTTCTTACACGAACATCTGTACCACAAGAACCATTACCTAACTGTGCTTGACATACACAACAACAGAAACACTGGATATGATAAAACAATTGCAAAGATTCGATAATCATAGCAGCCCCGTGTCCTAAAAATACAAAAAAAACAAAAATGACAAAATTTAATAAAAAGCAAACATGAATTAAGAAAAAATAATGAAATAAATCAAATAGTGAAGAGCTGAAATGAAAATTTTAGAAAATAAACACAAAGAAATTAAAGTGTAGAAAAGAAAAACAGAAAAATACTTTGTTTTTTTTTTTTAATAAAGTATCAGTGACACAACCCAGATGTTTGAAAAATAATTTTAAAATCCAAATATTTTATTCTTGATTTCCCCTAATACAAATTATTAATTGTGTATTTTATTGCAATAGATAAAGGTATCCTACACATTGTCATGAATGTATGCTCCTACTCATGTATAAAGAGAATTAGGATGTTGACATCATCGATCCCATTGTCTCCAAATACTTATTTGAAAAAGCGTAAAATTTGTATGCAACTTGAGAAGATGCAGATGCCAAAGTGTGCTCCAGTATCTATCAAGTTCCAACTGTCTGACTGTATAATACAAGTTTATTCCTATTATTTTTATGATTAAATAATTATTTAATATGATAAAACTGAGCTACTGCAAGAATCTTTTAACTCTTCTTCACTAAATATTGCTTTAAACACAAAGCTTTGCGTTTATTTTTGATATATTGAGTCTCAATGACATGCCAAAATTTGGTATAAAAATTCATTGTATATAACCATAGTATTCAAACCGTGGCTCTTATAGACCCTTACTGCAGCTTCTATATATTTAATTATTATAATTGAATATACAGGAGTCACTCTTTTGAAACTGTATTTTATATAATGGATGTCTTCCCATATATTTAATTATAATAATTAAATTTATGTGAGTTGCAGGTGTACAATTCCTGCACCAATGACACATTTTCCTTAGATCATGATGGCCATTTCTCTATATCTATAACCAAACCTGTGGTTATTAGCTTTGAATGACAATTCTTTATTGTTTCAGGATGGATTGTGGCATGACATTTCATCACTACAATTACAGATTTCCACACCTTATAGTATGTGGCAATCTGCACTTTCCTTAACAGACAAGCTGTTAGTCATCTATTTTGCCACTGCCGATGTACTACTGCACATGCACACATACATTTTATTATGACTGCATTATTATTACAAAAAATTATAGCGATTTCTCAATGCCTAGCTATTTTTCACCCATCCTATATATGATTCAATGACTTAATTTACAAATAAATATTTTTAAAAAAATTTCAATTTATTCTATCAACATTGTACTAACATTTTTCACTTTATAGTTATCAAATGAAGTGAATTTCTTTATTTGTGAAACTATGTAAATTAATATTTTTATGTATGTCACTGTATCGAAACAGAATAGGATAAAAGTTTTACTACAAATTAATGAATAAAAAAAATAGAAAAGAGTAGTTTCTTCCTTCTCAATTTTATCAATATTTTACTAAATTTTAGATATCCAATATAATAAAACAAATATTTATTGTACAGAAAAGTGTTTCTTAATCTTTTTAACAACTCTATAGGTACCTTTTCTCTTACCCATCATTGGCTGTGTGACGATTATGTGATGAGGAACAGAACCTCATCACATAATCGTCACGCAGCCAACAATGGGTAAAAGAAAAGGTGTCTATAGAGTTAATATAAAGATTAAGAAGCACTTTTCTGCCTGATCTGACCAGATCAGGATCCATGTAATAGTCTGGTGCTTCACTGCGTCAGCCATCTATACATTGAATTTTAAATGAATAAAAATGTTCAGTATTACGAGCATATTTTTAGAAAAAATAATCTGTTTATTATCAGTTTTATAACAAAAAATAATTAAACTACATGTAATAGTTTTATAAAGTGAAATTCTTACTTGAATTTTATTTTGTCTTTATATTATTTTAAGGTATTTTCATAATCAAATTAATCTAAGTAAATTTTGTAGTGTTTTAGATTTTCATTTCATAAAATTGAGAAGAAAAGAATTAGAGTCAGTTATAAATCCCAGATAATATCCAACACCAATTTAAAGAACAAAAGCTGACAGTTTGCTCAAGACAGATGAGTGCAAATGAAGTTAATTATACTTTTGCTCATACCAAGTTCTTCCCCACAATGGGAACACCTCTTCCTCCCACTAACAGATAACAAATGTTCTTGGGTGTTAGAATTCCTACTCCGGGGAGGCTTGGTTGGGGAAATGTCTCTGTGTGGCTTTGTGTATCCGAAACATTGTTTACCATCCTTTAACTGTCCACTATGCCTTCCGTTCGTGGTGTTATTGCTTCTGTTCCATTGGTGATCCACTGAATAGCTGCAGGGGTGAGCGGAAGGAGTTATGTGATTTAACGGTTGTTTTTGATTATGATGTAACATATTAGTTTGTGACTGGTGATTTAGAGTAATGCCAGAGCTTCTGCTATGAATGGATCTGTGTTCGGAAGCAAACTGGCACTGTCGTTCTTTTTGTTCAGTGATCCTCCTCATTTCGGCTTCTTGCACTAACCAGTGGTATTGGTTATATCCACTTTCTAATGTAGTTTCTGTACGACGCTTTAAAACCTATTCACAAAACACTTAATATTGAAAACTGCCAATATTATACAGTGGAAACCAGTTATAATAAATGACAACTGAAGTATTATTTTATTACATAATATAAACTTAATTTATATATAATTTTATATCAAAGATTAGAATGTTTTTTTATTATGCATATACAAAGAGTACTCTGAAAATCAAACAACTTATTATAGCTTAAATAGTCAAATCTTAGATTCTAAGTGTTAAAATTAATTTTAAATATTTGGATTAACACTATAAAGAGTCTGACTTGTTATCTAAAAAATATTAATAACTAACTAGAATATTGTGCTCTACAAAACTGAGCTGCAATAAATACTTATATTTAAGTAACATTTTCAAGCTACTTCATAGGTATTCTTCAGGTTCAAAAAAAAAAACAACATAATTTGTAGACATTTTAATTATTTATATAAAATGGAATAACTTCATTGATTGTTACAAATCTGTGATTTTTGCCAGTATTTGATAGTGCAAAATTCATCCATTTTTGCTATCACCATTATGCTGATTAAATGGCTAAAAATTACTAAACATAATAGAATCAACTCTGCAGCACGATGTACCTGTCTATTATAGGGCTATTAAATCAACTTGTTACTTGGTGTGTGTATGTAAACTTGTTCACATACTGGCAAGTAGCTAGTAAACACTCAATAAAATTGATCCCTAAGATTTGATCCTGGTTCCTATACACAGTCCAGTACTATATTGGTAAATAAAAACATTGGGTCCATAGTGCTTATTTTAATTAACAGGCTATGTAGATAAATTTATATGTACAGTTAAGTAACAAAGGGACACAATACAGTCGACCCCCTATAACACTGTTGATAATTCCGTTTTGGATGAATTCCATGTTGTACAAGTCACTTAGATTTTACAAATACGTGTGCCGGGATGTGAACAGCTCACATATTTGTAATATTCCCTTGTTACTTGTCAAATTTGTATAACTACAAAAACATTGTTCCTGGCCATAGACCATTTCATGAGAATTTGAACGATCTGTTGCATGTCAGGATCATATGAAGTGTCACAATAAGAGAAAACATCTGATCAGGCTCATATTGCAGCCATTTTGAGAACTGATGGCAATGTGGGCTTTTTATCAAGCATATGAAAATTATCTTTCTGGCCTGCTCTGCATTAAATTCACATTTAATTACTTAATTATCTCCTTGCCAATGTTGTGTGAGATTTTTCCTCACATCTCCATTATATATGCACATGCAAGATACTTCTCCACACCTCAAAATGGCTGACAATAAATGTGTGATCCAGCGCATTCGAACAGTCAAACATTTTTCTTCATTGTGGCACTTCATTTGATCCTGTCATGCAGAGGGTCATTTAAATTCTCAGGAAATGATCTACATGCTATGAAGAAGGTTTATCTAAGCTACAGAAATTTGACATTAAGAAACATCTTGCGTATTTTTTCTATTACTTAATTAATCGTGTTATATTTTAAATTTCAGCTAAACTGCTATACACATTTAAATTACATTTAATTTAATTTACATTAAATTGAACATATAAGTTGAATTATCATAATGGTTACATTATGGGAACTAACAGATGAATTTCAGAAACATTACAACCAGTTTTCGTTTCTATAATTTACTAATGACGTTAATTAACAAAACTATCAGATTACCTTTTCAGCTGGTTTAATCCATTTTTCATTATTTACAATTTTTGCTTTAGGTGCTGCTCCAAGGTTGTGAAGACTCCTTTTGCTTAATGCTTGAGGTTGTAATGCCATTTTACCATTGGAAAGTTCTAAAAAATATTTAAAAGGTATTAAATTTTAGTAACTTTATATACTTTCCTTATTGTAAAGTGTATATATATATATAATTTATTTACCGTTTCCTTCATTTCTTAATTTCATATCATCAGATTGTGTAGGTGGAGCAGCCTGTGGTTGACGACTAGCATAAATGATGTCTTCTCTTTCCCATAATTCGTCTTTGACTTGATTAGATGTCGCTGTTGCTGTTTCATGAGATGAAGACGTTTTATTTGGCACTTTATTTTGTGACAGTGAAGAAACATCTATATATATTTTTAGGATATCAAAATGAATTTATATGCAATTAAACTGGATTAAATAGTGGTCAAATAAAATTTACTAACTGTTTTGCTTCTGTTTCGAAGTGGTCTGCTGTTGCTGTTGCTGTAACCATTTCTGTTGTTGAAGTTTGACTTGCCGTTCATATTCTTCTCTTTGCTTTTGTAAAGCTTCTTGTTCTCTTCGTAAACGCTCTCTTTCTTGTCTTAGCAACATCTGTTATTAAATTTATTTATGTTTATATTTTGTATCATATAAATGTACAATGTAATCTTAAGATAAAAATGTTTATATACTTTTGTCTCAAACCATGCATTATTTAAGAAGTATCAGGCCAAAAGCTTTAAGTCTATGATAAAATTTTGAAATTTAAAGCTTTCAGTTTCATACCATTTAAAAACAACATCTTATGGTTACACAAAATTACATATATTAATTTATATTTAGAATTGCTTCTTATGTGTGTATCTGTATCAGAAATGATTGCAATTAAGGTTTCTAGCATCAGTTAATTAAGAAGAATCCTGCGTCAGATTTTCTATTAATGTACAGTACTTCTAATAATAATTAAGTGATAAAATTTGACGATTACAAAATCTGTAATGGTTCATTTCTTTATTAATCTGTAAGAAAGATAGATGGATTGAGATTATTTTTATTAAAAAAAAGCACTAAAACTTAATACAGAAACTCTGAATCTTGAATAAATAATAATAATAATTTATCGTTCATTAAGATGAAAAATAGGATTTCATGTTCGCATTTTCATTTATCAAATAACGTGTCGAGTGTTATTTTATAGTTATATCATGCTAAAGTGATATTCGTGTAAGAGTTCGTTATAAAGTCTGATTGCGATTTATGGGAGGGCTTTTATTCTGGACCGCGCCCAAAAAACAGAGGTTTTTGCAGATTAAAATCAGTTATCGCATAGAAATTTTGGGGATGGTATTAAAAAGTTTTTATGTAAATATATTAAATATANTTAGAATAAGAAATATGAAACAACATACTGCTTCATATTACCATCATTGATATATTTTAAAATGTGTACTAAGGATGGCCACATTAATAAATGAAATGTTTTGAATTAAGTTTTTGGTTATGACATTTTACCATCTAATATCTCATTTTGTTCTATATTCAAACCTGAAGATGCTTGATGAATGTAGCCAAACAAGTTTGTTTATTAAATTCAATATTACAGTTGAATTAATTAAGTTTTTAAACTTAAGCTCAAATTATACATAAAATCAGTAATTTAAATAAACATTGAATTATTTGTATCAAAGAATAACGATTTTAAACTTGCATTTACATTCACCTTTTTAGAAGGAGTTCGATTTGGAAGAACAGAATCAGTTTTTGCTTCTTCAGATTTAATTTTTGCAGAAGAATTTGAAGAAAGAGAAGAAAGAGTATCAACAGAATTTACATTTGATTGTTTAGATCCACTGGTGTTGTGTTGATTTGTTTTTTTAAGTGTTTCCTTATCCTAGAAAAGTTTAAAAAGATTACCACCACCATATTAATAATTTATAATACAAGTAAATACAATAAATATAATCTTATTTTTCAAAATTTATGAAAACTTGTTAGTAGAAATTCATCTAATAGAAGTTGTTAGTCTGTGAAAACAGCCTTTCTTTCAATCAATAGATAGTTATAGAAGAAAAATAACATTTAGAAGAAATTTTGTACATTAATTATTTTCACACTTTCAGATATGTTTCTAAAACAAATTATATCTCTTAACATGAGATATAATTTGTTTTACACTATTCGATTTTCTTGAAAATCAAAACACAGAATCTGTGTTTTGCTTCTGTTATAATGGTTTTTGTACCTCTGAGAGGCTGAAAATCATAAAAATCAGCAGAGATTTTCATTTTTTGATCTCCAAGAAAGCATAGAAGTGTACATACAATATTAATTTTAATATATTGTAAAACTTTTTAACAATTATAAACAATGATTAATGAATGATTTTATATTTAAAAAAAAACTTCATAATCATGTTTACCTCTTGCTGTTTAACATATTCTTCTCTTTCTTGTAAGATTTGTTGTTCTTGTAGCCTATCTTGCTCTTTACATTGCTGGTTTGTTTCAGATTTTTCATATAATGTGCTTTCTTCATTTAAATTAGAATTTCCTAATAAAGCATTACAAATAGATTATTTTACAAAATCTTTAAACTTGCTAAAATTTATTTTCATTAGAAAAAAAATTGAATTTTAATACAAAGTTTTGAATTATATTTGTAAATTTTCCATTAAAGTAGAGGTTTTTTAATTATAATTTTTAAAGATTTGTATTATCTTTATGAATTATTTTGATTAATATTTTTTATGCTCATGTTAATTGTATTCTTGTGGTTGTGAAGGATATGTGAAGGGATATTTAGGATAATTACATAAATTAAAAATCTTAAATTCCAGTAAATAACTTTAATAGACAAATGTTTTCAATGATCTACTAACTGAGATCTTCTTCGGGTCTCTTTAATGTTCCAATCTTGGAATGTTAAAGCACAACAATGTATTACAAAAAGAAGAGCAAAAATTCAAAACTTAAATTGATAATTTTAAATTGTAAGCATATTGCAATAATTTTATATATGTTTAAAGTACAAGAAAAATAGTGTATGTTAAATAACCTCAATAAGTGACATGCATCCAATTAACAATATTGCTATGTCAATGTCAAGTATGAGTAATAAAATGACATATTACAAAATGGAAAAGAATTTCCAAACATAATTATATATAAAATTATACTTAGTACATATTATACATGAATAGTCTCAGTAAATAATGGCTATCAATTAAAGGCAGCAAGTTATGTCAGAGCTGATCATGGGCCATCATAATTCCCACACCTGGCAATTCTTTTAAGGTTTTTAAGATGTGTAATTATCATTTATACATATCCAGTTTGGAATAGAAGTTAAAATGTATTTGTAATATTTTAAAATTATTTTTTCGTCATTATAAAAATACTATATTGTTTTTACGTGCCCAAGCATAATGTAAAAGCTTGTGAACTTCTTGTTATACTGAGGGAAGAGAAACACACCATTTCCAATTAAAATATATTTATTGTAATGTAATCTTCTTTACAACATCAAGATTATGTTACAATAAATATATTTTGATTGGAAATGGTGTGTTTCTCTTCCCTCATTATAACAAGTCTTAGTTCACAAGAACATCCAAAGTGGACACAAGCATAATGTAAGTAATTAAAGACAAGAAGCATTTATCAACATATAAAATAGTATGTTGATAAATGCTTCTTGTCTTTAATTAAACAACAAAATAGTTGTTTTTCTCAATTAAAAGTTTTCTAAATGTTTTGACATTAACTAACTTTCATGTTGTTAGAAAAGATTTAGATTTTTATTATATTGATATTATTTTTGTCTGATTACAGCTTATCAGATATGTAACTGTTTCTGTATACAATTATAATCATTTCTTAACTCAATGTCCTTTTAAAATGCATAGTTTTATAATCTTTCTACATATTGTAAATTTATACGAAAATACACGTTTAGATTATCTAGATATTATAACCTTCTCTGTACTTTTCCAATTTTATAACATATATGATTGAAATTTTACATATTCTAGTGGCCTTTTTCACCATTTTTTATAAATAACATAAATACAACTTTTCTTACCTGCTTCCAACTCTTGTTGTTGTCGTTCTCTTTCTTCTCTTTCAATACTTTCTATAATCTCTCTTTCTTTACGTGCAATTTCTTCCTCTTCGGCTAGCCTTTGAAGTCTGATTGACGTCTGTTCTTCTAATAATTGTCTCTTTTCTCTTTCGAGCTCCCTTTCAGATTTCAAGAAATCTTCCATTGCTGATGGTGGTGGAATTTGATTTTCATCTAAAATTACAATTATAATTTTATAATAAAGCATAAATATTACTCAAGAGAAATAAATTCTCACTTTAAACGTAATAAAAAATTCTTTTATACTTATTTTAATTTACTGTTTAAATTATAATTTACACATACCAACTTCTATAGCACCATCTTCAAATTCAATTCCCAAGAAATCAGATCTTCTTTTCCAAAGTTCCCGTTTTATTTCTTTTGTACTGTTGTGACGTGTTGTTGGTACATTCTATATTAACATTAATATTATTAATTATAAATTTCAGTTTAAATTTATTTTAATTTCATATATTGTATGTGAAACTAATTTATAAAATACAAAATATATAATTAATGTTTTACTTATTAATATACATATAAAAGCATACATATTATGCTTTGCACATCATGCTATTATATAGCCATGTACTATGCAGTAAATATTCACTGCATAGTACATGGTTATAATGCTTTTGTTGCTAATGCTAGTACAGTTATGGGAAGGATTACATATATACATTCATACATACATAGAGGGTGAACCAAAAGTCAGTTTTTTTTAAGTTTCTTGCTTAAGATTATTTTAAGAATGGTTAAAACTGGGGAATGATGCAAATTATTATTCATGATTCAGTTGCCACATAAGAAATGACTGAATCACAACTAACATCAAGCAACTGTTCAAAACTGTTTTTAACCATTATTAAAATTATATTTTGGTTAACTAGCTTTTGGGCCAATATGTGTGCATGTGTATTATATATATATACAGTCCTACATACACACCCACACTAAAATCATTTCCTGTGCTTACATTGTTTACATATTAGATTTCTAAAGTTAAAAACTATAAATCTCTCTCCTGATTTCTGCAAATAAGAACAATTACTTTTTATCATTTAAAATTACAACAGATCATTTTATTTCTAAAGAGTAATTAATAAAAAAAACTAGATTTTACAATGCCCCAGTTTACTGCATTACTGTTCTGAACTGTGTTAACTAATTGAAGAATATATTTAATAGAAAAAATTACAATAGATTTTTCACTCTTCAATCTACAAGAAAACGAAATAAAGTTTTAGATTTAACAGTATATTTTTATTATTTTACTTTTAATGAAAACATTGACTAATTTTTTCTTTTTACAACTAAATTTTCAAATTTTATTTGGACTAGCCTCTCCTCCTTCTCCTCGAAGTTTCTAGTAGCATCAAATTACGTTTTTAATTTTGTGTAAATATTACATTCTTTATATGGCTTGTTATTCAATGTTAAACATAAAGTGAACTGTTTAAAAATGCCAAATTGTGCAGTATCAAAAATTAACAAGAGATGGAGTGTCAGTGAGTAGTTGTATTGAATGGTGCTAGCCATTCTGCCAGTTCTTCCCAATATAAATTGGCAAAACTGCAATACTCTCTTCTCTAAAAATTTATTTTAATAAAAAGTTTCATATCCTTTTATAAGTTGTTATCATAATTAAAACAAGATTGGTCAAGCTGATCTAATAGCACACTCCACAAAAGCGAATCAAATATTAATTTTGTTTAAAATAAATTTTATAAATTCTTGGAATCAAGTAGTTGTTGTGCATGCATATGGACATGTGCAATAAATGGATTGAACAGAACATAACACTTATGTAATGAAAGTGATGTCATTGCGCATGCGCATGGCCATCTGACAGATGGACAACGTCTGACAGATGGACAAAAGTCCTAACATAAGCATTACACCACTATAGTGGAGCGTGCTAATGATGATAATCCATTTTATGTATTAAATGTATAGATCTTATTTTTAAAATTAATATTAAAATTTAGTAGAAAGTTATTTCCTTAACTTATTTTAAATATAATTAATTTAACAGCATCATTAATGTTTTGATCTTCTAAGACAACAAACTAAATAGTCTATTATAAGAAAAATCTCAAAATTTTATAATACACAATGGTCATGCACAAAAAAAATTTGCTCCGTTAAAGTGTTTTATATCATCTTGCAAACTTGCAAGCACTTTTGCACATAAGTTCATCATCTGGCAAATCAATTTAAACCCTAAACCTTCAGAAATTGTTGTCATATTAATGAATTGACTAATAGCTATGATGTTAGTGTTTGAATTGACTTTCCTGAAGATGATCTTAAGCTTGAAAGTGCTTGAAAGTTTGTGTGATGATATGCTTAGGTTTATTTTCTTTGGGCATTTTTGAGTAATTGTATTCAATTTAATTTATTGAAACTCTATAAGAGAAATACTTGGTCGATTTACCTCAGAACTTTCAACATCTGACATATCGAGGGGAGGAGGGGGTGGTTTTTCCTTTGGCGGTTCCAATTGTCTAGGTGAAACGTCCAGATCGGCGAGAAGTATATCATCCTGATTTAGATTGAGTGGAATTTGATAAATGTCTGCATTCAATAAGTTGTCATATTGAAGTTTCAAGACATGCTATTTTAATATAATTATTAATTTTATTTATAGTAATCAAAATATATTCAAAATTAATATTTCAAAAACTAAGCTAAACAACAAACTAAAATAACTATTATTTTTTAAGACATTTCTGATCTTATAAAATTAAATATCATTTAAAAACACCAGATATTACTAATTTTAATGGCTCTGTCATTGTATCTACATAAAAAATACATGACTTTACATTTTCTAAAAGTCTGAATTAAAATGCTTCCTTGATAAATGAAACCTGATATGGCAATTTTTTTCTTCCTCCTAGCTTTCCTATCAATTAAATATTGTTGACATTGCTTTCAGACATTAGAATTTAAGATTGTAACAGTATTTAGGTTAGATAAATCTTCATATTTAGTAAAGTTTATTTAAACATTTTTAGGTAAGTGTGATTAAACTTTTTTTTCAAATCCATCCAATAAACAAAGTGATAATTACAAAAATGTCACACTAACCTTGTACAGCTTTGCAATTGTTACTTAGAACGTATCACAAATGTTTTCGACCCATTTCTAGGGTCTTCTTCAGGTGTTCTATAAGTAGTAACTGAAAAGCTGTACAAGGTTAGGGTGACGTATTTGTAAACTTTTTTTAACTATAGATAAGTAATCATTCATAAAAATGACTTGAATTGTTCCCAACTCAGACAATTCAGTATTCAAAGAGAAATTCTGGAGAAAAATCGCTGAGTACTTGAACAAATTTTCAATTAATAACATATTTTCATTTTTATTTGTCATCCATAAACATTTTTTTATTGTAAAAATAAGAAAAATGAAAACACTGCTGATATTTCTGAACAAAACTGACAAAAAGCTCATATGATGACGATACTTTGCAAAAAGAAAACATCCTTGTTTAACTACAATTAATGTTAGGTTAGGTTAGGTTGGATTAGGTTAGATTAGGTTGGATTAGGTTAGATGCTCCACCAGCTCACGACTGTGCATATCAAGCGAGACTGACTTTGTTGAAATGACATTCAATCCCATTGAATTCTACATTGTATTCTACACACTCCATTTGGAAGCATTCCTAAGCTAGTTGACTTGAGGAAGAATCGCGAGATAGTTCAAACACATTTGTCCCCACTGTATATATCTTATACACGTTGTGCGCCAGTAACAGGTTTAAGGAAGTCAGGATTTTACTCCGATGCTGAAATTAGAGTGAATTTTGTAATATTAACACATAATACAGTACTTTTAATTTTGATTGTTAGTTAACTATTGATTAGAAATATGTTTATTAAAGCAATTAATATTTTATTTCTCTTAGTGATGGAAAAGAACAGTATACTTTTGCTAACTTTTGGAACCTAATCCTATGTTTTGCATTATTCCATTATTTTGTATAGCACCGATACGCATAACATGGTACTTTTTCGGAATGTAAGTACCGTGTTATACAAGAGATACTTGTAAATACATCTAGAATTTAAATAGAACTCAGTTAAAATTTATTTTAGAATAAAATTTTTCAGTTTCTTTGGGTAAATTAGAGATGATTACTTAACATTAAAGGAAACAGTATAGAACACTTCAGTATATGTATTTTTTTTTTTACCTTCCTGCCATGGTACTAAGAGGATTTTTTCTCATGCCTATCTCAGCCAAGCTCAGACAAATAATGGAGACAGCTGAATGATAAAAAATAAGATGAAAAATCCAAATCAATATCACTGATGAAAATTTCTGAATCTTCAAGCTATTCAAACCAAACCCCCAAAGCAACATGCTAATACCTTTACTGCTTCAACCATCTAATTATATCTCTTTAATGCTGAATTTAAAATGGTTCTTTAACCAGCTGAAAATGTTAGCCAACCTCAAAATAAAACCAGCAACAACCTTAATACATACAAATCTATTTCTGATTGAAATTTTAAATTCATACATGTTATTATTATTGTGTTATAAAGCATTATCTACAATAATTTTATGCTAACTGACTATAATTTACAATAATAATGTATGTATAAAACTATTAAAACTTTAAAATTATAAAATCTATTATATATATTATTAATTGAAGAAATTGGAGTTTTATTCATTGACTCAAACATCTGATTTTATTGGAGCTCGTTAAGTTATGTCAAATAGTTTCTCAAATACAGGTATAAACTTTTGTATCTTGATGCTCATCCTGGCTGTCAAAAAGTAGTAGGAAAACTGATACTTAATGTAAAGTTAGTGCAATTTAATAAAGCAGGTTTTAACTTCATATCACTAATTTATGTAATTTAATTTTAAAGACTTGAAAGAAACTGACGATGGCAGTAGTTCTGGAATTTTTCTCCTATTTAGGATTAGAATTTTGAAACAGGTTTCAACTTATTTGAGTTTTAGATTAATTTTAAAATATTAACATATTATATATTACTTATAAAATACAAATATTTATATACAAATTTAAAATGATTTTTTATATAGAATAATTACAATTTACCTCCTCATTCTTTACTTCCTGTACATTATTTTTCTCTTCAATAGACTGTGATACATTTTCTGTGAGAGTTTTGGTCGAATCATTGCTGTTTACTAAATTTTTATCTAAATGTTTTGCTTCTTCGTCTCCATTTTTACTATCTTCCTTCGTTTCATCTTCATTTTTGCTATCTTCCTTCGATTCCAAAAGCATTGAAACTGGTTGCTCGGTTTTTAATGATAATTCAAGTTTCTCTTTAGCATTTTCAGTTTCTTGTGTAGGATGTGAATCATAAATTATGTTTAAACCAGAATCTTGATAAATTGGATTTAAATTAACTAAACGTTGAGGTTGACTTTCTTCTTTATCATCACAATTTGTTGTGGTTGGGTAAGTCTTTAAAGAATAAACAAAGTATCATAAACATTTATAATTATTACTTAAATTTCTGTTATATATTAATATGTTGGTGTATATAATTCCTTATTATATTTATTATAATTATTAATTATATATTTGATAATAAACATTAAGTCTAGACATTGTAGTTAACTTAAAGTATACACCTTTAAGGGTGGATGCACACACGCAGCATGGCGGCACAAAGTGGTGTCAAAGATACATCTTTGCTGCACAACCATACAAGTAGCAATCTGCTTAGATTTTGGAACATGCATGCAGAATTCAAGATGGCAAATGACACCAACACTACCATTATCCTTGTATTTATAAATTTAATTTTGTACAGCTCGCTTTATTCAGCTAGAAGACATTGTTGAAGGTTTGACCAAAACTTTGGATTTCAGATATTTTCTTAAATCAAGAAAGAATTGGTGTGTAAAGTACACTTCTTTGTCAATTAACATCTCTCAATAAAGAATACAGTACTATTTTGTGTAAGGTTCATTTGTTTTGTCCTTTGAATTAAATTATATATTATTATTTGTTTAGAATTTGTGTTAAATTTATTTTCTTCTCTTCTTTCTATTGTAATGTCAGTTATCTTGGTTAACATTGTTGAACTTTCCACTTTTCCATTAAAACAACACATGATTCTGTTCTCACATGACTGTGGAACGAATCATTACTGGCCAATAGAAATACATGTTTGCAGCAACTGCCGCAAAAGACAGAATTCAACCAACTTTCATGGCATGAGAAAAGCAGCACAAAATCAACTTTTGCAGCAAAACAAAGTGACATCATTCTGCCACTTTTTGTTACCACATCTGTGCATCCACCCTAGCAGTTTGGAGAAATGCAAACATTTTCAACCTGGTTAATTGCCATCTTCATGTGTAGAAGACATAATAAGCATTCCTCTTATATCTTTTTACACTTGAAGATAGTACTCATGTGGTGGAATGGTCTAAGAGGAGCATTTTTCACATGATCACTCTAGGCCCACAATGACCATATGGATCACTATGGGCCTGGAGTGGTCACATGATAAGAAACAACATATTACATCTAGGACATAACATCCCCAAAAATTTCCTGGAGTTTTTCAATTACTCAAATCTGATCTGGGTTCCCAACAGTAGGCTGATATCTTAATCACCTTGTACCATCTGGCTGATACATTAACTGAATGAAAAACATTCACATTTCTTTAAACTGTTAAAAATGTATTGTTTGCTTTATGTAATTAAAGATCCTGACTTCTTAAAAGTTTAGGTTTTGTAAATTCAGATCATCTATAGCTTTTGTAGCTTTCATTGTTCAAAACGAGTGTATACTATGATAACTATAAAAATTATCTATAACTTTAAAATAATTCAAAATAAATATTTATTAAATAAAAAAATAAGCATTTTACTGAGAACTCTTTTGTAATATAATGTCAGAATTTGTGAAAATGTCTTCACTATATTTTATTGAAAGAAAATGATTAAAATTACCTACTTTACTATGTTAAATAAAACAGTATAATTAGTTTAGATCAGTGTTTTTATTAAATTTGTTTAATATTGCAAGTGACTTATGAATTATTTTGAAAAAATTGAATTATTCAGAAATTTAATCAAATAAAAATAGTTTTTTAGTAGTGGTTTTTAGATATAAACAATCTAAACTTTGCATTTTAAGATTCTCAAGTACACATAAATATATTTTTGTCAATACTGTCTTCATCTGGACAGTACCGATTATTGATACATTGTACAAGCTATTGTACAACATACAATATCTCGTACGAATTATGCATTATAGATTTAATTATATAAATATATCATGCAAAAGTTCTGCTTGCTTAAGGCCTCAATCTAAATGCAAACAATATAAATGCCACCATTGTATTGTATTTTTTATTTTAATCTTTAATAAAAATTAAATTTTTAAAATTTTTTACAGTTAAGTTATAAACATATTTGTATTTGATTTTAAATAATTTTTAAAAAATTAAAATCTATAATTTTGTATTAATTATTATAAATAATTCAGACTTAATAATTAATTATTCTGTAAGATAAAACTTTTTTATTTTACCTTTACATCATCATCATCATCCTTATTTTTACTAATTTTTTCAATATTTTTTTCAATTATTTCAGCAGAAGTATTCTTTGATTCTGATCCAGAATCCAAATTTTCCTGATTGTTTACTGAAGATTGATCTAGATCATTTGAGCATTGAGAATCATTTGTACATTCAAAGTTTGAGTCACTATTATTAACTTCTTTATCATCAGAATCATCAAATGCTTTACAATCGCCATTTGATTCGTGAAAGAAGTTTGCATCAGGAACACTTTTAGAACGTAATCGAGGCTTATTAGGTATCGGAGGTGGTTTTCTGGAAGAAAGCGATTTTGTTAGACTAGAACTGTGTTCCATTGAACTCCTTCTTTCAAATGAGGATACTTTTTCTTTGAAATCAACAGCTGATCTAATATCCTTAGTGCTTTTCTGAATTCCTTTCTTGTCGTGGATACCGTTTTNTCTATTTTTTGCAATATTAAAAAATAAAAAGTGTTTTTGTTAATTTTATAATCATGTGTAAATAAATACACACATTGGAAAAAAATTAGTCACACATTTAAAAGATATAAAGGGATAATTATTAGAATTAAACAACCTTTTTTTAAAATGCTACTAATATATTTCAATATAATTAAAGCACATTAAATTTCAGTTATTGTTTGTTAATAAATAAATAAATAAACGTTTCTGATGCTTAAATAGTCATCATCAAATTATCAAAATGATAAAAGATAACTATTTACACAATCAAAAATAATTGGTTCATTAGTATTAATCCTGTTTCTGCAACAGCTAGTCTTCTCAGGACACACTGGTTCTAGTAAGATCATCAAAGTTAAGTAGCAAGGGGCCCAAACAATACTCCAGTCAAAGATGCCATAAAATTGTCAAGTGCTATTGTTTAACTCTATCTAGAACGTGTGGTTCCAGCTAGTCCCAAGTACAGATTAAAAGAAAGAGGATGGTGACAGGAAGGGTATCTGGTTGTAAAATGAAGCAAAATTAGGAAGAAGCAATGATCCCACAGAAAGTGAGACTAATAATGCTGAAGGAGGAGGAGGAGATTAATCCTATTTCTATACAGTACCTAAAAAGGGGCATCAGAAAAAATCCAACTATGAACTGAAACCTTCCTGCAGAAAATGCAACTCGTTTCCCTCATTTATCTGTTAAAAAATATTGTTGAATTATTAAAATGTTTTACTGTTAAGGATTTGAACTATTGACATTAGCAAAAATCAGCACAATACTATGCCAACTTAACTATAATATTAAACTTTGTCTGTAAATCCTTTGATGCCATATTTTTTTATTTCATAAATAAATGCAAAACTGCCACATAAAATTCAGAAGAAAGCATTCTTTAATACAATCTTCAGGATATATTTATCTTAGTCTCAGATTGTTATAAGTTCAAAAATTAACCATCAAACACTTTCTAAGCATTCATAAATTTAACAAAGAATTTTTTAAATTTATATAACATCTAAGAAAATAGATACCTGTGTAATGGATTGTCTCCTTGCTATTAGTGTACTTTTTAAATTTATTATTTTATTTATTTATGTGAATTATTTATGTGACAGAGCTCATGAATTATGATGTCAATAGAATCTTCGTAAAAATGGAAATTATTAAATATGAAAAGTTTCTGTATACATTTTTTTTTCACAGATTTGATGTAAACACAATATTCAATTTGTATACTTATTTTCAAAAATTTATTGTACAAGACTAATGCAGTCTTATTTGTCTTTCTTATTTTTAAAAATTGTATAAGAAAATATTGTAATAACATTGTTCTTAAAACTAACAGAAGCTGGAATAAATATACGAGGGGACCCAAAAAAAAAACCGAACTGAGAGTGCGCTGCCATTCATAGACATAATAGGGAGTTCTCCCGTTACATGAGGTTAGTAGAGACCTTTACGAAACAGTTGTGCAAGTAGCGTCAGTTTGTAGGTTTATATTTGAGCGTAGTGTTGTGTTTCTCTTACTGTTATTTTGTTCCACCTGCGAAGTTCTGGGCATCCTTCAACATCTTGAAACAATGAAAACGTTGAAAAAATCCACCAAAAAAGTGTTAAGACGTCTGCAAGAGGATGTGCGAAGGAAATGCCTGGAACTTTGGCGAGCAGGTGACTGGTTCCTTCATCACAACAATGCCCCCACACACACAGCCTTACGAGTGACCCATTATTTGGCCTGTCGTTCCCCACCCTCCGTATTCACCAGACCTAGCCCCCATGTGACTTTTTTTTGTTTTCGAGAATGAAGAAAAATCTAAAAGGGAAGCATTTTGATGATGTGGAGGTAATAAAAACAGCTTCGCTAAGGGCACTGGACGATATCAAGATTGAAGCGTTCCAGAGATGTTTCAAACAGTGGGGAAAAAGACTTCACAAGTGCATCACATCTAATAAAGAGTACTTTGAAGGTGACTGAAGAAATTTTGTAAAAAAGTTAATAAATAAAGTTTTTGTACAAAAAATCCGGTTTTTTTGGGTCCCCCTCGTATTATGAAAACATTAACTGTATTAAAATCTGCTCCTTTTTCTAACTCCTGTATGACTGTGTGTTTCATTTATTTGTGGACAAATATTAAACTTATTAGCAATCAGTTATATAAATTAATTGCTAATTAAAATACAATAAAATTCAGTACTATGGTTAGACAATTAGAGGCTTTGTATAACATTATGATAGGGCTTTCTGTAATTGCTACAGATGTCTTTTACTGTAAAGAAATTTGAGTACCCTCACAAAGTTCACATACTTCTATTTTAAAAACTTCAAAGAAAAATTTTTCGCCTCAAGACTATAAGCAAAAGAAGCCTAATTGGTGTTGTTGTTTTCATTGTCATTCTTTTTAGAAAAATAGATGATGTCAAGATATGCAGTTAAGTTACCCCAAATTCTTAATATAATTATTTAGTACTTAACTTAATTCTATTCAATAAACAATTTTGAATTAAACACTGAGTTTCCAAGTTAGTATTTTGTACTTTGTGATATCACATAATCTTTAATGTGTTGAGACATTTTTCTATAGCATAGTTATTCTTCCTTTAATGATTTCAATTAATTTTAATTAATATACTTAATAATATAAAAACTAATAACTAATAAAATTTACTTAGTTTTAAAAACAAATTACCTTTGCTATTAGATCTCCATATTAACAAATCCAAATGACCAACATATATAGCTTGTTGTAAAGCAAACTGTATCACTTCATTATCATGTCCTTGAGTATATTCACCATTAATTGCTAACACTTGGTCACCTTTCCTGAGTCCAGCTAAGTCACCAACTCCTCCTAAAATAATTATAATAATATATAATTTTTTAAAAAATATTTTGATATAATTAATTAAAATTAAAAGCGTTAAATTAAAATTTTTGTATCAGTGAAATTCAAGAAACTTTTCACAAATCCATAGAAAATTTTAGTGTATTGTAGTTAAAATAACAACTTCTCAAATAATTTCAAACTAATACAATTCATCTTAGGAGGAACAGATTACAAAAAACCTGTTTCTAGAACATAAATTCAAAGTTTTCTGAATAGTTAAGACATATTTTGTATCTATTTTTTGCAATATTAAAAAATAAAAAGTGTTTTTGTTAATTTTATAATCATGTGTAAATAAATACACACATTGGAAAAAAATTAGTCACACATACAACTCATATCTTTTGATATTTATTCACATCTCCCCTAGTCCTAATAACAGTCATAATTCATTGGTGCATGAACTCTATAAGATATTGTAAATAATGTACAGTACTATTTGTCATTTTTAAGCCATTCTGTTTGCAATCATTCACATAATTCCTCAAGATTCCTGGGCTGTTGCCTGTAGATTTTACCTGCCTCTCAAGGTGATCCCACTAATTCTCAATGGAATTTAAATCTCCTTATCCATTTGGCCAGTAGATGTGACTAATCATTGTTTTATGTTTCTCATGCCACTCTAACACAGTATAGGCTCTGTAAATATGACAGATCATTTGGAACAACAGAGCATTGATGCCATGTGTATCACTGAGATGCTTTGCAAATGGTAAGACCTGATTGTTCAGAACAAACAGAATAAAATGATATTAATTAATTAAAATATTAAAGTTTTAAGTTAGTGAAAAACCACATGTGTAGTAATACATATTTATCACTTGTTAAAAATAAAATATAATCAAAAAAAGTTTTTATACTATTGTTATACACATATTTAGTAGAAAGTTATGTAACATATAAATACTGATAAGTACTCCAAAATTTTAAAAAGTTTCCTTTTAGAAATATCATTAAAGCAGCAGTAGTTAAAACTAACAGTGTTATCCTTTATTTGTTGACTGCTCAGTTGTCCTTTAAATGTTCTTTAAATATTTAATGTTAAATTTTAAATTATATGGAAATTTAAAAAATGGCATTTAGTAGTTTGTGTATAAATATAATATTAAATAATGTCAGTGTTCTTTGTTTCAAGTGCACCTGCCATAATGATATTTAAATAAAATTATTTCTTGTTAGAAATTTTTAAACAATTTATATCTTAAATATTTGTTTTCTTTAATTGGATTTTTGTCTTAAAATCCAATTATCACCAGAGAATCAACTTGTGTTATTTGCTTAGTGAATCTAGTAAAGGATGTATAAAAGAATTTAACAAACACACACAATAGATTTTTGTTCTCTTTTGTATTGAGAGTTAGCAAGAACACACTGTACATTGTTTACAGAACTTTTTAAAGCATATGGACATTTAAAGAATAGCAGACTACTGAGGTTAACTATGTTAGTTGCAAGTGCTCCTGTATTAACAATATTTTTTAAAAAAAAGTTATTTTGTTTTAGAAATTTTAAAATAATTTACATCTCTATATTTGTTTTATATAATAGATACTTTTTATCATTTGTACAAGCCTTGCAAACACTAATTACTATTTTTATTCCCATTATGGTTTCAGCTATGTCCATAATGGAGTGGCCATATAGTAAGATATCTATCAGGTTCAAACCACTTGTGAAATTCTTGAAGAAAACCCAAACTCAAATACATATTCCTCAGACCAGCAGGTTGCTACTTTTACCATCTGACTGTCACTAATAAGTGCTAATAATACTATTTATAATTTTAAACTTAAAAATTTTGGTACTTAAAATCATATTTTAGAACTTACCTGAATAAACCATGCTAACAACTGGTGTACTTTGATCTTTTCCTTCCTTTACAACAAAACCAAAATCTTTACTTTCACTTCCTTGTTTTAACCAGATCCTCAAAAATAATTCCACCCCGTCATCACTCTAAAAATGCAAAAATATTTTTTTTAAATAACACAAAATTCATAAATATATTTTATGCAAAAATACAATAATAAAATACAGTTTTTAAAAAGAGAAAAATGAGGAAACACTAACTTTTTTCTCATAGTGTGATAATGGATTGGAACTAAATTCTTCGAGTAGTTCAACACCAGTAGTTAAAGATCCTGTTGTATGTTGAAAATCAGAATCTAAACTGCTGCCGCTATCTTGACTAAAGTCTGAAGCGCTATCTGCGATATCACCAGCTTTGTGACTACTACTCAAACTATCCAACCCAGAATCGATATTGGTATAACCACTATTTGCTATAAATTTATTTTAATTACATATTTATTATATAATTAACATAATGTAAATAATAAAATCAATACATTAATTAATGTTATTACCATTACTTCTCTCTACTTCATTTTTATCTCGTTCAGTGCTATTGTTTATTCCATTTTCTGTTGTATAACTCCCATTAGGTATGCTATTTTTCTGTAAAGATATTAAAAAATTAATTACTTTTTACAATTTATTTATCACTTATTAATTGAATTGACATATAAACCTGTAGGATTATCTGTCACATCGTTTTAAGGCTGGTAAATAAATTAAATACAAATCAAATTGGCTAGAGACAAATGGTTACATTGCCATTTTATGTTGGATTTAATAATTAGAAATAAGTTAATTATATTTTAATTTATTTATTGTAAATTTTTTTATTTACTATAAAAAAATTTTATCATCAAAACAGGAAGAAACTACATTTATAATCTATTTTATGCTTCAGTACTTTATATTTTTATAGATTAAAAAATTATATAAATATATCAATATTATTACTACATACATTCTTAAAATATTTAAGAAATGTTAGCATGTTATAATATATTATATATTATACTTGATATAATTTGTATAACAAACAGTAGTGAAATTATAAATAAAATATATCTAAATTATATTTATATTACAGTATATTATATTATATTCGTATTATAATAAATAATAGAATATAATGTTTTAATAATGTTTCACAGAATGGGTTAAGACACTAGGAATACAGAAATTGAATTTGGGGCCCCCCTTCATTGCCTCATGCAGTTGCACAGTAGCAGATTATGTTCCTTTCAGACCCTAGGCATAATTTTGTTATAAAGCCTTTATGTAAAACTGTTCTTTTTATATTAAAAAGACAATAAAATCCTTAAATAATAACAAGTTTTTAGAGCCTTTTAAACATTTACTAAATTTTTAGAGGCATATTATCATTTACTATGAGATTTTTGAAGCCTCTTGAGACAATGAGGCCGAGGTGTGCATCTAATGCACTTATTGAGTAATCCACTACTGCAGTTGTGCAATAATCTGTAATGCAAAAATGCAAACTTTAATTTTCAGCCTCAAAACTTTAATCATACTATGTATTTTAAAGTCTCAATTTTCATTTTAGGATGTCTGCAATTTCAGATTGGAAAGTGAAACTTTAATATATCAAATATAACAATAATAATTAGTTAAAATATCCTATTAGTTGAAAGCCATTAAATTTATTTAAAGAAGAATGTTTCCGCTAATTTTCATATTTTAATTCTTCTCAAGTAAATGGAGCAAATAAACCTTTTGAAATCTTTATAAAATTATTTCATTTTTATGTTTTAAAATAATTTAAAATCAGATATGGATTCTTATGATAGAAATTGATAAAAAGTTTGTACTCTGTTGAGATATAAATAAATAAATAAGATATAAGTTTAGTTCTGGAAGCCAGAAACATTCATAATCAGTCAACCACATGACCGTTTTAAGTACATAAAACATATTAAGTAGAAAAGAAACAAAAAATTCTGTTGTAAATTAATTATTTTTTAGTGATACATAATTCTATTCTGTTAGATATGTTTACATGCTGCGTACAGTTTCATTTTTGAAACTTTTTAGCTTCCTAAACTAAGCATAAGTATCATTTATTTATAGATGTAGATTATATCTCAGTTAAATGAAGCATCTTGTATCCAATATAATTTCAGGAATTTTAAGATTTTAACATTTATTATGAATATTAAAAACCTCTAATACTGTTATCAAATTACTAGTTAAAATATAAATCTATATTCTATAAATATAAAACACCTAACTATAAATAATATCTCAATTTTGTATTACACAATACATTTTATTTTTGACTTTACAAAATTGTAATTAAAATATTTGTTTGTGTTAAATATTACAATATTTAATGGAAAGATGTAATTTACAAATCTATTTAATATAAACTTATAAAAATAAATCTATTTATAACAACAATAAAAATAACTAACCATTGTATTGTTTGAAATAACTTTGTCATTGTTTGCTTTTTCATTATCTTCATTTGTATCAGATTTCATACTAGAAATATCTTCATCAGATTTCATTTCATCTTCACTTGCAGGCCTTCCAAGTATAAGTAGATTATACTGTTTTGGTCTATGGGCCCTGAAAATAATAAAAAAATCATAAATATTTTCCATTCATTTCATTAAATATTTAAATTTTAAATATCTAACATAGATACCTTTCTTCCATCATTTCTGAAAACGTTTTCGTTCGCACTTTCTTTTGTTCTAATTGTCTTTGTTGTTCCTCTAACTCGATCCTCCTTATCTCTTCCAGCCTTTGTAAAGATCCTTCTGATTGTTTCCTTCTCCTTGATTTCCAACTATCTAAATTCTTTAATAAGTATCAAAATTTAATTTAGTAAATCTTTTATTGTTTCTGACTTCTTCTACATAACTAAAATTTAAAGTTTTAATTTGATAATATTGCAGATCAACCTGCAAAATGTCTATTGAAAATGAACTATCACATGAGCCTTCATTATTAGAAAGCAGTGAAAATAATGCACATAAAACTTTTCATAGAAGAGATCCAAAAAGGTTAAAGAAACCATATGCCTCCCTAAGTATATCTTTGTATTATGAACTGAATAGTTATTCAATGAATGAGGTAATTTCCTGACTTCATATTTATAAACAGTTCATCTGATTTTCTTCAGCTCTGACGTTATTATTAAATATTTTTCAAATTACTATATTCTATTAAACTTAAATATTACTGAATGAAAATTTAATTGTGTATTAAGAGCAAACATACAAATCTTTTTTTCATGCATTAAGAATAAAACTGACCTCAATTCAAACTGTTTTAGTTAAGAGCAACTTTATAATAATAATAATAATCATTAAAGCCATTCTCAGATTTAAAAAAAAAAGTTCAATTGGGGTCAGTTTCATTCTTAATGATTACAAAAAACAAAATAAAAATAAAAGAGAAATTGTATTTTTAATACTTAAAAAGAACGGAAATGCATTTTAAATAAAACTAAGAAAAAAAATTAAATATTCTTTACATTCTTCAAAAATGTTGTCATTAAATATCTTGTAATTTCTAGTTTCAAATTATATAAATTTGTATTTTTTGTTTTACTAAAGTTGGAATAAAATATTATTTATATCTGAAAATTTAAATTTTAAATGCTTGATACTGTATATAAGGGGGTCATAAGCCTGCAAACCAGATATGGCCCATTAAGACTTCATATCTGGCAGTGGTGTGCCGTCCATGGAAGCCGTGGAAGCACCACTTCCCACGTATTTTCTAAAATATAAATACATATTGTGCGATTATTTTCATATTTTAATGTACTTTGAATTAATTAAAATTAACATTTTATTATAACTGTGTTATGCATCTTATTACAAATTTCTATACAGTACTAGTGAAAAATAATGATAAGATTGCTATCTTATCATTATTTTTCACATGTAGTAAAGAAATTTGTATATTTGAATATAAATTCGTGTATGCATATTCCTAATGGAAGCACTGTATTGTCAAATACAGGACAGCTTTCACGGTGAAAATATTTGAATTGTATAAAGCAGCCAAATTATATTCATTTGCGCATGCGCTTTACAGAGCAACAACCTCGAAGTTTAGCTCATGGATGTTACACACCAAAATATCGTAAAACGCTTCTAATGATTTTATCCAGGGCTGTCACCGTACACCACTGATATGCCTTGATGATTTCTTTTCTAAAAATCAATGTTTCTAATATCTTGGGGGATTAAAACAAAAAATTCAAACTTCTAACTGTTTACATAAGTCGTAAATGCCTGGAAACCATAGAGCATTCGTTAGAGCCTTTTTTTTAGTTTACGTTTTAGTTTACCAAATAATAATGAATACAGCCCGCATCTGATATACATCTTTTTGACTGGTCCTTTGCTACATTTGTGTTTGAAACTCCTGCTGTATTTGAGTGGATATAAATAATATAAAAATAAGATAATAAATTACAATTTATTTATATATTCACACAACTTTAGTATACAACTCTTTTATTTTATTTGTAATGAGTATATGAGCTTCACTTAAATTTAAAGAAATCTTTACAAACAGAAAACAAAAAGTGTTTTAATTAGTTAATGATTTTCAAGCAACCTAATTACCTACCAAAAATGAAGATAGTTGCTTCAAAAATATTAATTAATTAAAATATTTTTGATTTCTCTAATAACTATTTTTTTACATCACAAATTTTTTATGTAATAATTACTTTTAACGTTTTTTAAAAGACCATCATTAGGTTCTCACATGTTAATCTTTACCATAAACCAATTCAAAATATTCTAATAGAATATAATATTGTAGTTAAACATAATCTGGCTAGTATAATTACTAGAATTATGTTTAAATATTTAATATTTTGAATTTTCTGTATCAAAAATGGTAAAGAATAACATATAAACAATAAATCCACAAACCTAATTTTCAATTAATGACAAATGATCTGCCATATTATCAGACTATAACAAGACTAATTTAATAATTAGATATAAAGTAATTTGACTGGAAGAGGCAATTAAGCTGCCATTTCATGATAATCTTAATAACTGTAATAAATTAATTTTAATGTTTTAATTTAAAATGTTCTGGATTAGTCCGGAGCAGGACTTAAATCCATAATTCCTGCTTATTTTGCAGTTATGCTATCTGGACCTCCATCTAGTCAAATCACTTCATATCTAATTATTAAATTAGTCTTATTATAGTCCAATAATACAGCAGACCATTTGCCACTGATTAACACATGCAAATCTCTGCACCTTTTGGAATATAAGATGAAAAATTCTATTAAACTCTATTACTTAGGCTTTCATTCCAGTCCATTCTAAGTGGTACCAAAACTGAAAAACAATTTTAGTACCACTTAGGATGTACTGGAAAGACTGAAATTATTAGAATTTTAGTGTAATTTTCATCTTAGTCTCCAAAAAAAGAGCAGAGAACTCTATATACCAAGTTTGATAAATAAATTTCTTTGCTATAGATTAACATATAAGAAAGAACCCAACAATAGTTATTTAAAAATCCAATAATACACTAAAAATTTATGCTGATTAGTAAAGGTTTGAATTATTTGATACCAATATCTGGTTTTGAGTTGTTTTAACTATTTTTTTTTTTAACTTTACAGCATTTCAGTTAAAGAGCTAAACATTATCTAAATATAACTTTTTTTTTAACAAATTTCAAATAATCAGCAAAACTTAAAATTTAATTTACTAGTACTTTAATAATACAAATATGTAATTAAAGAAGAAGTTTTAAGTTTCATACAGAAAACAGTTTCATGTTCCAATATATTAAATTGAATAAATATTTTTTATTTTACTTACAGATTGCCATTCTTCTTCTTCTTCTTTTACTTTTTCTTTCACTACTTTTGTTTCTGTTTTCTTCTGTTCTTGTTGCTAAAAAAAATTAAATAAATTGACAATCAACTAAACATTTTCATCATAATAATTTAACACTTAATTTTTATTTAAAGTTTTCTATGTTATCCATATGCATCATTGTATTTTAATATGACTATTTGAATAGATAAAATTAAAAGGTTTGATGAATAATAATTTATTTAACACAATACAATGCACATTAATAAATATGCTTTGTCACTGTAAATAAGATTATTTTTTGAATTATTTTTTACAGAAATTAAATATTAGTTGTACTTTTATATCATGATTCTAATTATATTCCAAATAATACAACATATAAAAAAATACTTAATTTTAAATTTTAAACTGTTTATGGAACATTACATACAATAATTATACAATGTTTTTCTTATCTGATTTATTTATTTAAACTTTAACATTTAATATTTAAAAATTCCTATTAGAAACAGATAAGTCTAAGATATTATTTCTGCATTATCATATTTATTGCACGTAGGCAGTGGTGCATTATAGTTTCGTGGGACCCAGGCAAATTTGAATGAAAGGGGCCCCCACGTACAGTGTCAACTTCAGACATTTTTTGTTTGGGGAAATTTTTGGAGGAATTTTCTTATAAAAGACTAGTTTGGTGCCCCTATCAGTGGGACCCCAGGTTATTGCCTTTTCTGTCCATAGGATAATGTGCCACTGCACATAAGCACTATTAATGTAAACTTCGGCATCAAATTTGTATATTAAAACTCAAATTAATGTAAAAGAAAGGTTTGTTTTAAAGCTTAAAAGTAAAAATAGTTAAAAAACAGGATTTGGAATTTAAAAATATATTTGTTTCATTGTTAATATAAATTTATCTTTTAAACTAAAATTAGAGAAACCAAAGAAGTCCAAATCTACTTTCAGATATACAGTGTCAAATATTCCTGGAGGCTTTAGGAATTTCAAGTAAGACCTATAAATTTATTAATAGCAATCACTTTGTCAATGTCACTAATTGTTCTTAATTTTCATGTTCACGGGTTTATTTCAATTTAATAGACTTCTGAATACAGATCTATTAAACTAGAATTTAAAAAAAATACATTAATTGTTCCTTTTACAATTTAATTCAAATTTTATTTTTGAAATTTTATTAAATTTTAATATAGAAATTTATATACAATATATATGCCAGCAGGACTTTCGTACTAATTTGTTTTGACAGATAATGACTTTATATTTATTTACTCTATCTCATAACAAGTTATAGTGATCTTTGTATACATCTATAATTTGTTTATAGCTTAAAAACATCATTTTTAAATATTACATTGTATATTTTAACATTGGCTATATATAAAAATGAGTAACATACTTGAATTTTATTAAACTAGAATAAATAATGTCTATTGTACAAATATAATATTTTATATTATATATAATTCACAGTTAAAGATATACATTGATTCAGTTTTAAAAGAATGTTTTTACAAGAATACTGTATACCAATTTATTGGAAAAATTTACAATTTATCAAGAACAGACTAATGGAAAGATCAAACATGGAATATTTTACTTGTGTTTATTATACTTTAACATAAAAAAGATAGTTATATAAGTATTATTTTGATCAATTTTCTTAATATTTGACACTACATTTATCTCGAATTATTCTACAATCTTTCTGATTTTACAGACTTAAATAAAAACTGTATAAATATTCTTTATACAAAAGATACACAGTGATTTCCAATGAGTAAAATAAGCCACTCCAAAATAATTTAGATCAATTATCATTAATTCAAGTAAATTTACAACAACAAAAGTAAATTATTAACCTTCTGAAGTTCAATCATAAATCTGGTCATACTAATTACTGAGTGATAATACAGTATATAATTTTTAAAGGGCCTATTCATACAGTAGCAAGCAAAAATTTTCATACATATTTATATAGGAATATTTCATATATACAATAGATTATTTTTGCATTTTATTAAAGCATAAATTCATTAACTTGCTTAAAATAAATAGAACTGATGTTTAATATATTAAAATAATTGTATTTCTATTCTGTCTGTTGTAAGATTATTTATGACGGAAAAAGTTTTTTTAATTGGAACTTTCAAAATAGCTTTATAACAAAAGTAACAATAGATAATAAATATTACATGTAAGGCAATTATTAAAAATAGCATCTTCATTAAAAGTATAAAATATTGATATAATGATAAGAAATTATTAATTAAAAATAATATAATATACAGACTTTTTAGACTGTAGAAATAGAAGGCAATTGCATGTTTTGTAAAAGCCTAATTTCTAATACTAAAAATAGAAGTTAAAATATAATATTTATGTTAGTCAAATGCTGCTGCTTTTTCTTCCATAGTCTCAGGATGAAAGAGAGTATAAATGATCAGATAAATCTGGCAATTGCTACATCTTTTTTTTCTTCTATTTTTCTCCCCCATACTGCCTTAAATTTAATACTTCTTTTGTGTATACCTTGCTCAATCACCTTTCTCCAACCTTTTCTTGATCTTTCTCTCAGACATTTACCAATTACTTTTCTCTCATATGTTTGTCTTGGAAGTCTTTTTCCTCCATTCTTTTGCATGATTGAACTATCATAATCTTATTCCACTGATTTCCTCTAGCAAACTTTCTAAAGCTCAAGCTTTCTCTAATCTCTTCAACTTTTATTTTAGTCAAATTCTGACTAATTTAAACGATCTATGTTACTCACCCAACACTGTTTTTCTAGTGNAAATAATTTAAAATCAGATATGGATTCTTATGATAGAAATTGATAAAAAGTTTGTACTCTGTTGAGATATAAATAAATAAATAAGATATAAGTTTAGTTCTGGAAGCCAGAAACATTCATAATCAGTCAACCACATGACCGTTTTAAGTACATAAAACATATTAAGTAGAAAAGAAACAAAAAATTCTGTTGTAAATTAATTATTTTTTAGTGATACATAATTCTATTCTGTTAGATATGTTTACATGCTGCGTACAGTTTCATTTTTGAAACTTTTTAGCTTCCTAAACTAAGCATAAGTATCATTTATTTATAGATGTAGATTATATCTCAGTTAACTGAAGCATCTTGTATCCAATATAATTTCAGGAATTTTAAGATTTTAACATTCATTATGAATATTAAAAACCTCTAATACTGTTATCAAATTACTAGTTAAAATATAAATCTATATTCTATAAATATAAAACACCTAACTATAAATAATATCTCAATTTTGTATTACACAATACATTTTATTTTTGACTTTACAAAATTGTAATTAAAATATTTGTTTGTGTTAAATATTACAATATTTAATGGAAAGATGTAATTTACAAATCTATTTAATATAAACTTATAAAAATAAATCTATTTATAACAACAATAAAAATAACTAACCATTGTATTGTTTGAAATAACTTTGTCATTGTTTGCTTTTTCATTATCTTCATTTGTATCAGATTTCATACTAGAAATATCTTCATCAGATTTCATTTCATCTTCACTTGCAGGCCTTCCAAGTATAAGTAGATTATACTGTTTTGGTCTATGGGCCCTGAAAATAATAAAAAAGTCATAAATATTTTCCATTCATTTCATTAAATATTTAAATTTTAAATATCTAACATAGATACCTTTCTTCCATCATTTCTGAAAACGTTTTCGTTCGCACTTTCTTTTGTTCTAATTGTCTTTGTTGTTCCTCTAACTCGATCCTCCTTATCTCTTCCAGCCTTTGTAAAGATCCTTCTGATTGTTTCCTTCTCCTTGATTTCCAACTATCTAAATTCTTTAATAAGTATCAAAATTTAATTTAGTAAATCTTTTATTGTTTCTGACTTCTTCTACATAACTAAAATTTAAAGTTTTAATTTGATAATATTGCAGATCAACCTGCAAAATGTCTATTGAAAATGAACTATCACATGAGCCTTCATTATTAGAAAGCAGTGAAAATAATGCACATAAAACTTTTCATAGAAGAGATCCAAAAAGGTTAAAGAAACCATATGCCTCCCTAAGTATATCTTTGTATTATGAACTGAATAGTTATTCAATGAATGAGGTAATTTCCTGACTTCATATTTATAAACAGTTCATCTGATTTTCTTCAGCTCTGACGTTATTATTAAATATTTTTCAAATTACTATATTCTATTAAACTTAAATATTACTGAATGAAAATTTAATTGTGTATTAAGAGCAAACATACAAATCTTTTTTTCATGCATTAAGAATAAAACTGACCTCAATTCAAACTGTTTTAGTTAAGAGCAACTTTATAATAATAATAATAATCATTAAAGCCATTCTCAGATTTAAAAAAAAAAGTTCAATTGGGGTCAGTTTCATTCTTAATGATTACAAAAAACAAAATAAAAATAAAAGAGAAATTGTATTTTTAATACTTAAAAAGAACGGAAATGCATTTTAAATAAAACTAAGAAAAAAAATTAAATATTCTTTACATTCTTCAAAAATGTTGTCATTAAATATCTTGTAATTTCTAGTTTCAAATTATATAAATTTGTATTTTTTGTTTTACTAAAGTTGGAATAAAATATTATTTATATCTGAAAATTTAAATTTTAAATGCTTGATACTGTATATAAGGGGGTCATAAGCCTGCAAACCAGATATGGCCCATTAAGACTTCATATCTGGCAGTGGTGTGCCGTCCATGGAAGCCGTGGAAGCACCACTTCCCACGTATTTTCTAAAATATAAATACATATTGTGCGATTATTTTCATATTTTAATGTACTTTGAATTAATTAAAATTAACATTTTATTATAACTGTGTTATGCATCTTATTACAAATTTCTATACAGTACTAGTGAAAAATAATGATAAGATTGCTATCTTATCATTATTTTTCACATGTAGTAAAGAAATTTGTATATTTGAATATAAATTCGTGTATGCATATTCCTAATGGAAGCACTGTATTGTCAAATACAGGACAGCTTTCACGGTGAAAATATTTGAATTGTATAAAGCAGCCAAATTATATTCATTTGCGCATGCGCTTTACAGAGCAACAACCTCGAAGTTTAGCTCATGGATGTTACACACCAAAATATCGTAAAACGCTTCTAATGATTTTATCCAGGGCTGTCACCGTACACCACTGATATGCCTTGATGATTTCTTTTCTAAAAATCAATGTTTCTAATATCTTGGGGGATTAAAACAAAAAATTCAAACTTCTAACTGTTTACATAAGTCGTAAATGCCTGGAAACCATAGAGCATTCGTTAGAGCCTTTTTTTTAGTTTACGTTTTAGTTTACCAAATAATAATGAATACAGCCCGCATCTGATATACATCTTTTTGACTGGTCCTTTGCTACATTTGTGTTTGAAACTCCTGCTGTATTTGAGTGGATATAAATAATATAAAAATAAGATAATAAATTACAATTTATTTATATATTCACACAACTTTAGTATACAACTCTTTTATTTTATTTGTAATGAGTATATGAGCTTCACTTAAATTTAAAGAAATCTTTACAAACAGAAAACAAAAAGTGTTTTAATTAGTTAATGATTTTCAAGCAACCTAATTACCTACCAAAAATGAAGATAGTTGCTTCAAAAATATTAATTAATTAAAATATTTTTGATTTCTCTAATAACTATTTTTTTACATCACAAATTTTTTATGTAATAATTACTTTTAACGTTTTTTAAAAGACCATCATTAGGTTCTCACATGTTAATCTTTACCATAAACCAATTCAAAATATTCTAATAGAATATAATATTGTAGTTAAACATAATCTGGCTAGTATAATTACTAGAATTATGTTTAAATATTTAATATTTTGAATTTTCTGTATCAAAAATGGTAAAGAATAACATATAAACAATAAATCCACAAACCTAATTTTCAATTAATGACAAATGATCTGCCATATTATCAGACTATAACAAGACTAATTTAATAATTAGATATAAAGTAATTTGACTGGAAGAGGCAATTAAGCTGCCATTTCATGATAATCTTAATAACTGTAATAAATTAATTTTAATGTTTTAATTTAAAATGTTCTGGATTAGTCCGGAGCAGGACTTAAATCCATAATTCCTGCTTATTTTGCAGTTATGCTATCTGGACCTCCATCTAGTCAAATCACTTCATATCTAATTATTAAATTAGTCTTATTATAGTCCAATAATACAGCAGACCATTTGCCACTGATTAACACATGCAAATCTCTGCACCTTTTGGAATATAAGATGAAAAATTCTATTAAACTCTATTACTTAGGCTTTCATTCCAGTCCATTCTAAGTGGTACCAAAACTGAAAAACAATTTTAGTACCACTTAGGATGTACTGGAAAGACTGAAATTATTAGAATTTTAGTGTAATTTTCATCTTAGTCTCCAAAAAAAGAGCAGAGAACTCTATATACCAAGTTTGATAAATAAATTTCTTTGCTATAGATTAACATATAAGAAAGAACCCAACAATAGTTATTTAAAAATCCAATAATACACTAAAAATTTATGCTGATTAGTAAAGGTTTGAATTATTTGATACCAATATCTGGTTTTGAGTTGTTTTAACTATTTTTTTTTTTAACTTTACAGCATTTCAGTTAAAGAGCTAAACATTATCTAAATATAACTTTTTTTTTAACAAATTTCAAATAATCAGCAAAACTTAAAATTTAATTTACTAGTACTTTAATAATACAAATATGTAATTAAAGAAGAAGTTTTAAGTTTCATACAGAAAACAGTTTCATGTTCCAATATATTAAATTGAATAAATATTTTTTATTTTACTTACAGATTGCCATTCTTCTTCTTCTTCTTTTACTTTTTCTTTCACTACTTTTGTTTCTGTTTTCTTCTGTTCTTGTTGCTAAAAAAAATTAAATAAATTGACAATCAACTAAACATTTTCATCATAATAATTTAACACTTAATTTTTATTTAAAGTTTTCTATGTTATCCATATGCATCATTGTATTTTAATATGACTATTTGAATAGATAAAATTAAAAGGTTTGATGAATAATAATTTATTTAACACAATACAATGCACATTAATAAATATGCTTTGTCACTGTAAATAAGATTATTTTTTGAATTATTTTTTACAGAAATTAAATATTAGTTGTACTTTTATATCATGATTCTAATTATATTCCAAATAATACAACATATAAAAAAATACTTAATTTTAAATTTTAAACTGTTTATGGAACATTACATACAATAATTATACAATGTTTTTCTTATCTGATTTATTTATTTAAACTTTAACATTTAATATTTAAAAATTCCTATTAGAAACAGATAAGTCTAAGATATTATTTCTGCATTATCATATTTATTGCACGTAGGCAGTGGTGCATTATAGTTTCGTGGGACCCAGGCAAATTTGAATGAAAGGGGCCCCCACGTACAGTGTCAACTTCAGACATTTTTTGTTTGGGGAAATTTTTGGAGGAATTTTCTTATAAAAGACTAGTTTGGTGCCCCTATCAGTGGGACCCCAGGTTATTGCCTTTTCTGTCCATAGGATAATGTGCCACTGCACATAAGCACTATTAATGTAAACTTCGGCATCAAATTTGTATATTAAAACTCAAATTAATGTAAAAGAAAGGTTTGTTTTAAAGCTTAAAAGTAAAAATAGTTAAAAAACAGGATTTGGAATTTAAAAATATATTTGTTTCATTGTTAATATAAATTTATCTTTTAAACTAAAATTAGAGAAACCAAAGAAGTCCAAATCTACTTTCAGATATACAGTGTCAAATATTCCTGGAGGCTTTAGGAATTTCAAGTAAGACCTATAAATTTATTAATAGCAATCACTTTGTCAATGTCACTAATTGTTCTTAATTTTCATGTTCACGGGTTTATTTCAATTTAATAGACTTCTGAATACAGATCTATTAAACTAGAATTTAAAAAAAATACATTAATTGTTCCTTTTACAATTTAATTCAAATTTTATTTTTGAAATTTTATTAAATTTTAATATAGAAATTTATATACAATATATATGCCAGCAGGACTTTCGTACTAATTTGTTTTGACAGATAATGACTTTATATTTATTTACTCTATCTCATAACAAGTTATAGTGATCTTTGTATACATCTATAATTTGTTTATAGCTTAAAAACATCATTTTTAAATATTACATTGTATATTTTAACATTGGCTATATATAAAAATGAGTAACATACTTGAATTTTATTAAACTAGAATAAATAATGTCTATTGTACAAATATAATATTTTATATTATATATAATTCACAGTTAAAGATATACATTGATTCAGTTTTAAAAGAATGTTTTTACAAGAATACTGTATACCAATTTATTGGAAAAATTTACAATTTATCAAGAACAGACTAATGGAAAGATCAAACATGGAATATTTTACTTGTGTTTATTATACTTTAACATAAAAAAGATAGTTATATAAGTATTATTTTGATCAATTTTCTTAATATTTGACACTACATTTATCTCGAATTATTCTACAATCTTTCTGATTTTACAGACTTAAATAAAAACTGTATAAATATTCTTTATACAAAAGATACACAGTGATTTCCAATGAGTAAAATAAGCCACTCCAAAATAATTTAGATCAATTATCATTAATTCAAGTAAATTTACAACAACAAAAGTAAATTATTAACCTTCTGAAGTTCAATCATAAATCTGGTCATACTAATTACTGAGTGATAATACAGTATATAATTTTTAAAGGGCCTATTCATACAGTAGCAAGCAAAAATTTTCATACATATTTATATAGGAATATTTCATATATACAATAGATTATTTTTGCATTTTATTAAAGCATAAATTCATTAACTTGCTTAAAATAAATAGAACTGATGTTTAATATATTAAAATAATTGTATTTCTATTCTGTCTGTTGTAAGATTATTTATGACGGAAAAAGTTTTTTTAATTGGAACTTTCAAAATAGCTTTATAACAAAAGTAACAATAGATAATAAATATTACATGTAAGGCAATTATTAAAAATAGCATCTTCATTAAAAGTATAAAATATTGATATAATGATAAGAAATTATTAATTAAAAATAATATAATATACAGACTTTTTAGACTGTAGAAATAGAAGGCAATTGCATGTTTTGTAAAAGCCTAATTTCTAATACTAAAAATAGAAGTTAAAATATAATATTTATGTTAGTCAAATGCTGCTGCTTTTTCTTCCATAGTCTCAGGATGAAAGAGAGTATAAATGATCAGATAAATCTGGCAATTGCTACATCTTTTTTTTCTTCTATTTTTCTCCCCCATACTGCCTTAAATTTAATACTTCTTTTGTGTATACCTTGCTCAATCACCTTTCTCCAACCTTTTCTTGATCTTTCTCTCAGACATTTACCAATTACTTTTCTCTCATATGTTTGTCTTGGAAGTCTTTTTCCTCCATTCTTTTGCATGATTGAACTATCATAATCTTATTCCACTGATTTCCTCTAGCAAACTTTCTAAAGCTCAAGCTTTCTCTAATCTCTTCAACTTTTATTTTAGTCAAATTCTGACTAATTTAAACGATCTATGTTACTCACCCAACACTGTTTTTCTAGTGTTTATAACTTTATGATCCTAACACTTTCATTTTGAATAAAAATGTCTTTTTAATTTGTTAATATCCTTGAAGATGAATTATAAGAACCTGAAAGTACTAAGATAATAAATCTTCTATTTAAAATTTTCAAAAATTGATGCTTAAGAAATGTCTTAATTTACAATTCTATTTTTTACATTGTTAGAAAACATACTTTTAGAAAAAATATCACATATTGTACATCCAGTAAGAAAATAAATCTGCTTTAAAATTATGTATACCGTAAGTAGAGACAAATAGTAAACACACAAATTGGAACATTTGCAATAATACAGTAATGCAACCAAATGGCAGTGTTCCTGTGCATAGATACATCATTCCGAAAATAGACTGACACTTCAAGCACATGTTCTAACCAAATATAACCACTCAAAATGTAACAGCAAACTATTAAATTTTAATTGAAATTATCATAAATTAAATATATTTTTCAAATTCTTTTTTTTTTTTCTTTTTTCAAATTCTTCATATTTCTTTATCATTGGATATTTTAAACCTTAAAATTATGTTAATATATACAGTAACTTTATGATTTAAACTTTATTTCAGTTTATTTATCTTCTTATGAATCATTAAACAAATAATTTCTATAATAAAGTAAAATAATACACTAAAAATAAAAATTATCTTTATTTTTTTACTTTAATTAAGATTTTCATGAAAATCTTAATTAATTACAAATGAATTCTGGAAGTTTTTCATATTTAAAGGCTTTAAAATGCACTTTTTAAAATCATTTACTAGTAATTTAATTATAAAAACTTAATATTTCATACATTTTTCATCCTTTGTGATTTATCTTTTTCTGTATTTCAACATAAATTCTTTAAGTATAATTGGATTTTACATTTAAATTCTATTGTAAAAAGGGCAGACTATACCAGAAGAGAATAATATCATAGTATATCAATGCAAATATTACATAAATTTATAATTTATAACTTTTGGTTTATAAAAAAACACAAAAAATTCAAATTACATATAAGACCTATTAGCTTATAAATTATAAAGCCTTAATTTAATACTAGATTATAAATGTCTTTTATTGCTTAAAAAAAATAAATTTATATTATTTTTGCACAGAATAATGCAAAAATAAGGATGGAAGAGCAATGTATTCAATTAATTAATTTATTTATTAATATAATTAATAAAATGTGTTAATAAAATGAGATGTGACACATCTATCGAAAAGATGATAACGCTTGGAATAGTGGAAGGAAAAAGATGAAAGGCCTGATAATGAATGTGATGAATGGATGGAGTGTTGAAAGGTACAGAGATGAGCTTACAGAAGTTGTGCAAGACAGCACAAAACAGAATCCCTCAGCGAACCTTTATTCACAGAGTCACCAGGAGTCAGAAACAACTTGATGAATCTTAACATCATTTATAAAAATAGTAAACTGAATTGTAATTACAATTCATAATAATAATAAATTAACTCCCATTATTCTATCTTTGTAAACAAATTCTAAATTAAACAAAATGAATTAGTGTAATGAAATAAATTTGTATAATAATAAATAACAGATGTTTCAAAAGGCACTTAAACCTTGAACTTCTGCACTTAAACTTCAAACTTCAGCAAATGAGATTAATTGTTCATCATTATAGTATTAGTTTCAATATTATCTTTTTTTTAGTTGTAAGTCATAACTGTAATCTGAAATGATGATTTATATCAACCCCTNCTTGTTAACTTCGATTTGCCAATTCCTATCACATGGGAATCTCCAATTTCCCATATCCCAAGGCTAAAATTGAAAGGAAAAATAAGAAAACAGTGCAGAATAAGAGGATGATAAACGAAAATTCCACTTCGACAATTTAATTTAAGCCAGACAGATTTATAACTGAAATCAAACTTTAAAAAATTAATGACTAAACAACCGATAAATTTAGTAAATGATTCAAGAGATAACAAAATAAAAAATAATGTTGAAGTGAGTTTACTTTCGACATCATTATCATTAAAAAGGCTTGTATATCTTATCAAAATTCTTTGTTGTATATTATATTTTCAAAATGGAATTTTGAAAATATATGATGTATGATAAGAGAATTTCTTTTTTTTTAATCCTATTTTAGGTCAATGTTTCCTTTTATTTCTAACACCCTTCAAACCCTTTTCCTTCCAGTTTTCCCTTGAGTGTTTTACCACCCTTGAGGGGAGGTAGTTCCCACTTTGAGAAACACTGCTTTACACTATAAATAAATAAAATTAC